AAAATCGAAAAACTGAGATAGATGTCAAAGGAATTCTTTTCAATGAAAAAATTAATGAATGAATGAACTAACTAAGAGATGAATCATAGATGAGGAAAGGAAAGAGTTATCGAAAAATCAATGTAATATTAGCAAAATAGATGTGCATTCATTATCTTTGTTAGCATATTTAATTAATCTACGAGCACAAAACCCGATCTTTATCTTTTCCTCTATACCTTGGTCTTCTTCTAATTAGCTGCAGTTATAAAGGAATATTTAAACTAATGGCCTAGCGTTTCTAAGCATTCTGCCATCTTTTAGTGCATTTTTGGTATTCTGGCCTTTAATTATAAATACGCGGACATGACATAATTGTGCTCTTTACTCAATCAGCTGCTAAGCATTTCTATTACAATAACAAAGAATCGTCAATAAGAATAGCGGCACATTTTTTACGCGAATTTTTTGTTTAAATGTTCTTTTTTTCTTTTTTGTTGTAGAGCCGACAGGTGTGCTAGACATACCTGACATATCGATTGATGATAGCATTTTTGGTCCAGCCAGCAATAAACGGGGGCGACTTTCATCAAGTGGCGATGAATAGTTGCGAAATTGATTTTTAATTCCAATTTGAATTCTTATACGTTGTACGTATGTACACAATTTTCTTTGTACAATGAATTCAACCTTTTTTTTATGAATTCAATCGAACTTTTTTTTTGGTTGCAATAAAAAAATCGCGAGAATAAAACTTCATCAGAAAAGTTAACCCCTATAAAATGAAGCCATAAAATGCCGAACAAATCAAAACATAGCATATAATTTAAAAACTTTGAATTTTAATAAAGCTCTTTGCAAAAACAATAACAATAACAGCAATGGCTTTTTGTGCTTAGTAATAAAAGGGGTAACCCTTTTTATTTGTCTATGGCTTACTGGAGGAATATACACAAAAACAAAATTATATATCCTTCAATGAAATGAAATCTAAAAATAATTCATAGATGGGCGTCCGTTCATTCGCCTGCTTTTGAACCGTCCAAAGTACACAGTTCTGCACAAAAGTCCATAAGTCCGAAAAGATCCAAGAAGAGGCTTCTATTCCTCCATTAAGGTACTTACGGTAATATCTTAAGTTGTCCTAGTTATGTTTATTGGAGATTTTACTTACGATATTAGAAATTCCTTGAGAGAGAAGATGAGTTCAACAAATTCATTATTTAAAATAAAAAAAAATTGTTAATTTGTTTGTTTTTCTTTGCCAGGCGGTGAGTATCTAAGAATCGTTTTAAATGCGAATATAATTTTCTTTGTTCTATCCTCGGTAAGAAAAAGAGGCGCTCGCGTAAATATGTAGAAAGGCAATAAACCCAAAAGAGGAGCTCGCAATTTTTTTTTTTTTTTTTTTTTTTTTGTAAATTTTGCATTTACTCCAACATAAATATATAAGCGGAGGGGTACAAACTAAAAAAAAAAAAACAAGAAGGGAAAAAATATTTTACCATCATAATGAGTGCGAGAGATTTATACTGTTTTTCATTTTGTAGTTAAATTCATCGAATTTCCTGTTAGTCTCCGCCATTTTCCCAACGGCGAATACATTTCCCTTAGTCGTGTTGCTGGGACTGAACTGGTCAACCCTCGAACATAGACGGTTTTAAATGCAAGTTGAACAAACTCGATCAACTTCTCTGCTCCTTTCTGCTGTTCGGTGGTTTGCCTATGTGTTAAGTACTTCCTTGTCTCTTGCATTCGGGTAGAAAGTGAATTAAAACAACAACAGCACAAACAACGGCCAAAGTGAACGTTGCGGTTTTTGACCAAATATTTTTTCCCTTAATGCCTTTCCCTGTTCATAAATAAAATGATGAAAAAATTAAAAGAATTCTCATTAAAAATCGTTTTTAGAGAAGAACTTTATTTTATTGTTTACTGTCTCTGACAATGGTTGAAGCAAAGTTGTTAATGATGATGTAAAATGCATTTGAAACATGTTGTTATTGCCAGATTTTATTACTTTATTTACTCTTTCTCCTGCTTTTTTTTACTCTGCCCTCAGCTCCGCGTTTGCCTGACTGGCCCGCTATATGTTAAATAAAATTTTGTATAAAAAGCAAAAATTAAATGAATTTTTCTGCTCTTTTCCACAACGCGTTTAAATGAAAACAAAATCACTGTAAAAATCAATTTGAATTGTTTTGATCAATCGACCTAACAAATATTTCATCAATTTCGTAAACATCTTTGTGAAGGTTAATTATGCATCCTGCCTGAATGAATAGTGGTTTATGTACCTATTCAGTCAATTAGTCTTCATCGGACTAATTAATGAAAAATTTGCAGACCTTTGCAATTTTGGTGCTTATTAGTTGCTTTGCTTCTCTCAACGCTAAACTAAATTTTATGGTGTTATGTAGCATTACTGTTAATTTGAAAAAGAATTCCTTGCTCAAATAATCAGCTGCCATCATACGGACAAGTACAAGAAAAGAAAAATATAATAAACAAATGACGGAATAGACGCATTACAACCTTCAAGATTAAAAGTAGATTGATACGTATTTTCTAAAATAATAACACAATGCATTTAAGGCGAATTAAAACGCCCAGCTAGTTGAGAAAGTAAGAGCACAATAGTCGGACAAGGCCGACCTTTAGATACCCTAGACAACTTCACCTCATATATAGTAATTCATTCATTTCCGCGATAATACACCACAAATTATACATAATTTTTTTGGTAAAGGCACCCTTCCCATTTTGTGCGATATTCAATACATCAACTACCACAGCAAACTTCATTTACTTGTCAAAGATTTAATTATTTTTCAGTTGCTTCTGTCATAAAAAACCAAGAGTAGGACTTTCTCGGCATATAAGATCTTGCTTCTACCTCGAGACTCTCCGTATATGATGGGGTTAAAAAATGTACCTATATGATACAAAGTCCCCGTTAACGCTTATGTAACGTTGCTAGTACATATCCAAAATTATACCTTTTTGACAATATATATTATAACAAGATTTTTATGCGATGATGGATATGGATCTATTTTCCACGTCATCTTCTTGATCCAAATTTGATGCGGTAATATTTTATATCAAATTAATCCACCATTTTCAATAAAAATATATGAAAAAATTTTTCATGTAAGGCCTTATTTTTCTTTAGAACACTTGTATTGGATGGAATCAAAAAATAGACCTACGAAGCCCAAATTCAGTCAATTATTATTATGAACAAATTCTCATCAAGAAATATCTAAAATTACTCCCTTTTAACATGTAAGGATTCAGATTTTATAACAGGGATTATACGCTAGGAGATTAAAAAATTTCCCCATCCGATCAAAATTTTTCACACCGACATAGAATGCCGAATCAGGTAACGTTTTTTGTCGCAAAATTCTGAGCATTACAGCCTTTTTTTATACAATATTTCAAAACGAGGCGTCATAAGAGGAAAGAAATCAGACGGACAGACAAACTTAAATCAATTCATAATCATTTTCTGCATAATGGCGGGGCTGTTTTAAGACATTCTAAATGTTGCATACCAACAAATATAACATACCCTTTACTACAAGTGGTGCAGGGCATAACAATGAGTCTGTACGTAATTAAAAATATTAACAAAATTTTTACGCAGATCAGTTTTTAGTGCTTCTTAAGAGACTCGAAATTTAAATTCATGAAATTCATTCAAGAAAAAATGTCAGAGCGCTTTTCATCGAAATATAAACATATTTTTATTGTACTTTAAAAGGAACTTTGTTAACCAAAATGTGTAGTCATTTGGCCGATAATCTTTTGATGTGTGAGAATGGTTGTCGAAAAAAGAAATGATCCTGCCCTAGCCAGTTTCTCTCCATTTTTGACTTAGAAGACCTTAAAAGTATGTTTTATTTGTCCAATTGGGGAAATTATGTCTTTTTGCCAAGCAATTCCGCAAGAGTAGCCGAGGAGATAAGAGTCGTGCCGACCGGGTCGGTAATTAATCCTATTGTGAGCACTCAGTAAGTAAAGGCATAACACTTACCGATCGGTTTTGCCGCGCACTTCCCTCATCTCTATTCCTCGCCGGTTATTTATTACTAGCTTGCTGTAACCCGATGATGGTCTTACACCAGTATGAGTTTATCAAACCAAAATATCGATCGGCTTTGCTTTTATATTTAGTCAAAGTTTGATTCCGCAGCGATATCATTAAATGACGTATGCCTCTATGTATACTCTCATGTTGCTTTGGAAGTCAAGTCGCTCCTACTTCTCTATTCCTTGCCTCTTCTTTATAAATAGCATGACGTAATTTGATGATGGTCTTACATGAGTATAAGTATATGAAACCAAAATATCGATCGTCTCTCCTTCTATATTTAATCAATGTCTGGTTCCACAGCGATATCATGAAATGACATGTGCCTCCATGTGTATTCTCACATTGTTTTTGAAGTCTATTCGCTTCTACGAAGGCATCCATTTCTCGTTCCGAAAAATTTTTAATTGTTCTTTTCATTTATTCTTTGATATAAAATTTTATATTGCATTATCCCGTTTTCCTCTTGTCGTGCTCAACAGGTACTCGTAACCATCGATAATCGTAACGAATTTTAAAAGTAATTCACTTTACTTCTTATTATATTTAATTCTTTCTATTTCGATCTAATATTTATGGTGTTAAGCCATTTAGTTTCATGAATAAAGGGAATATGTAACCAGTGGCCGCATATACCGTTAATGCAGGTAAAGTTAGTTACTTCTGTGTATATGTTTCTAGAATTTGCTAAAATTCTACCAAACGAAATGAGAAAAACCCGAATTTTCTAAAATATCGTAAATAAATATTTCGCGGAAAAATTAGATTAGCGTATCGCCCTTGTACATAGTTATTCTTTGTTTTCAGGGATTAGTGTACGCAGGCAAATATTAGCTTGTGTAGCAAATAATATAAAAGAGAGCGAAAAACCAGAGACATTTTCATTCTTTGTAAAGACTTTGCAACAGAAAGTACATATATCACCAGCAACGAGATTGAAAATGGAAATGGTTAACGAGACGCAAAATAGAGTAAGCGAGTTACGAGAAGATGAAATACTTGGCAGCTACAGCAAACGCATTGGATTAGTTCACTGCATACGCCATATTTATCGCTTATACAACAGACGTATGCCTATGCCATCGAATTCAATTACTTCAAGTCGGCTGCAAACCCGTTATGTTCTCGATAAGGTAATGACATTGCCAAGCTTGACACGTCGCAAAGCGGCAAAGGAACGTATTAAGCGACGTCTCATTTTTGATGGAAAGATTGCAGGACGTAAGACCTGTCCGCCGAAAAGAAGAACAACTGAATGGACTGAGGTTGCTTTTCATAAACGCACCAGACCATTAGGTGTAGTGATGCGAAGACGTCGTAATTTCTTGAAATGCCATCAAAAACAATCAAACCCGCATGAATTCTATGAAAGTTTTTCAATAGATGGAGAAATCTCAACATCATCATGCCCGTTAGTAGCATTCATGCCGCCTCAAGATCAAAACGGTGAGAGCCGTAAGCTAACCCTACCTGATCAAGGTGTTATCGACAGGTGCCAACCACGTTGCGGTCGGGCTCGAAGATATTCCTCAACAACTTCAGACAGCCAATCATCAGTCGAGCAATCGGAACCAGAGTTTAATACGAAAGCCTATCAGACCAAAAAACTGCAGGAAGCCGTGTTACAAAAACAATATCATGAGCGAAGCGTGGCCAATGCAAAAATACTAGAAGCCTCCGTACGATCGGTATTATATTTAGAAGCTCTAGTGGACTTAATGGCTAAGCAAGACAGAGAAATTTCACAGAAATTTAAAGGCAAATTAGTTTAATTAAATAAAACGAAATCAAGTTCAGATGCAATTTTTTGCTTAAATACATTTAGCGGCTTTTTTGGTCTCATTTCAAATGAATTCGTTTTCAGCTTCTCTACTGGTTATCGTTTATTTTGCTAATATTTTTATAGCTTTTCTCAATTTTTGCATCAAGTGAAACAATATTTTGCCTCATCAATGTATTTGAGATACTTGGAACTCAAATTTATATGATTCTGTGAATGTTTTGTTTACATTCATTTGCATAACATTTACCACCACTGTTCAAAGAATGCCAGTCCCTCAGTCCGGATCAAAAAAAAAAAATAAATGTATAAACAAAGTAAACCAGAGATGAATTAGTGAATGAAAAATACATTAGTTTGTAGAAATATTTCGTGTGGCCTCAATATGCAAATGCGTATCTATGCCTTAGCGTTGCTCATTGACAATTCATAGTTGTGACGAAATGTGCAAAACGCTACCTTAGGAAAGACAAAAGAGAGAGAGAGAGAGAAGAAAAAAAATAATAATAAATTACGGCTTAAATTAATTTTTTTCAAAAATTCGTCAACTGCTTAGAAACTTCTTGCACTTCTTAGTAAATCTCATACTTTAAGCGAAATAATGTTTTTTCCTTTAAGAGGGAAATCCACAACAAATTATAAAAAGAAATTTTCGTTTTTGTTGCTGTTGACTTAAGAGATGCTTTGAATCTTTCAGAATATGCGGAAAAATACTTAATGTCTGCGGAGAGTTTTTCGCTTAAAATTTATAGCTCTTCGAAAAGGTTGCTAGTACTGGAGGTAGGAGATTGAAGGTTAATATGTAAACATTTGGAAAGTCAGTTGTATGTCCCAGGTCTATTCACTCTACACTATGTACTATGTACTATATAATGCACAGAGCACACAACAAGCTGTGTATGCTAAAGGGACAAAATTCCCGATTAGGACGAACCGAAAATTTAGAGTAGCCTTACATGCCTGAAAAATAAGTAACGTCATCTGCACATTACACTGCTTTAGTAGCCTACATATAGAACCCACATGCTATGGTGGCAGTAGCTAGTTTTTTTTTGGACTGATGACTTAAGTATCAGTTTCGGTACTTTTTATAATTCTCTTTACATTGCTCAACCACACCTCAGTAAAGATTCAAATCTCCGAAAATCTGAACTGTCTGGTAGGGCTAGCCGCAATTCAATGAATAGTAATGGCGGATTATGATAAATCAGCCATGAGTGTGACACCTTGCACTCAAAATAAGCGTCAACTTACGCTTGCTCTCAATGAGATTCATTGGTAAATACACGAACGCTCTGAAGTTTAACGTGACGAGAAATCCTAATCTTCTTAGACCAATAGAGACTGATTAAATCCTGATCACCAGGGTAAGAGACCGATAGTCGTGTGCACATCCTTTTGAAGGTGAGATTAATCTAACAACTCTGGTTTTCTGTAGATAAAGAGACCGTTGGCAATGTACCTACCTACGACGTTAGCTCTTTGCTAGTTATATGGGCCACTGTTATCCTAAGGTCCCCGAGAGCGCAGATATTGTCTATCATCACTAATACAGATTAATTAAATAACGCTTGGAATTATTGTAGTTTTTCGCCCTTTTGAAAACATTAAAACAAGTCTTACAATGGTTCTTGACCAAGCTTGCCTTGGTGTAAGCGAAATTCAAATTAAAGTAATTCGAATTTAGTTTAATTAATCAATAAATTAAAAATAAATAATAAAGAATGAATTTTAGCAAATGAATTTTATTTCACCCGGTCACTTCTATGTGACATGTGACGCTTTTATGTCTTTCCGTCTGTCTAATGTCTGCTGTCAACATTCTCCTGGTCACAAAAATGAACCTATCGATTTCAAATTTGTCGGAAGCATACGAAATTGTTGCAGGCAGGTTGATGTTGAAAATAGGCCAAATCGGTCGAAGGGCAGGCCCACCGTGCTACGTAAAGCGTACTATTTGCAAAAGGAATAAGAAATCTTTTTCTGATCATTACTCGCGAACTAAAGGATATAAATATACAAAAATTTGAACGTGTATTCTATGGATGATGCTGTAATAGATTGGGAAAAATTTGAATCACGCCTAATCAATATTATATTATATTAAAAGTTAATTTTGTTCGAATACCTCTACAGCGAGCAGAAACTAGCTGGAGGAATCCCATAGAGTATACAAATTCTTGTCCAGTTTCACATATGGAATGCACTTAAGCATGTCCGTCTCTTCGCTTGTAGCGAAAATGAAGATATCGGCTTCAAATTTGGAAAAGATTTTGAGAGTAACCTAAATTTTTCAAAAGACACGCGTACAATGCCCACTTGTCTATGCGCCAAAAATGACTTTGAAAATGGAAATAAGCAGTCGCGTTACTGCACGCTATGGAGCACGAATATTTAGTTCTTTTACTTTTTTGTCTTACTTAAGACAAGGGTGATGGATGGGTGTAAAAGATTCGGTCACGACCTAATATAATTTTCTTACTTGTTACAGTGCAGTTTCCTGTTTTTAGCTGTAATTCATTTAAAAAAATATTTCGTTGTTTAATCTATGTAAACGCGGAAGAGTCTTACGCATTTTTCGAATATAATTGCTCTGATACTCCCTATGGCAATTATTCAGTACTGCAAGAGCAGGAAGATATGCATTTGTATTTGCGATTTTTGCGAAAACACAGTATTCTTGTATTCTTTCGCATGTATGTAGCTCAAGTTTGCTTAATTCTCTTTAAATTTGAAATTTAAATTTAATATTTGGCCGAACTGTAGTAAGACACATTTTTCCGTCGGTTATTGTTAGGAAAATATCACTTAAAACAAGCGCAGTAAAATTCGGCAGACGTCTATCCAACCTGCAGAATAAATCTCTTTTCAGAGAGTACGCAGACAGCTTCAATTCAATCAGGGTTTTATTGCTTTTTGCAGCTATAGCATAAGGGAAATCTTGTGCAGTTAATTCAGTACGGACAGACAAACTCAAACTACGCAATTTGCATCTGATGATAGTTAGCTGTTTAATAGGGAGATTCCGCATCAATAAACCCCGCATGTCTAGACATTCAAACAATTTCTGCAGAATTAATTCCAAGAAATAATCATTGCTAACAATTTCTAAGGCGACCTTTTTTTTTTGGAAGAATTTCTTAAATAATTCTGGTACATATGGTGTTGGTAAAATTCATTAAAAGCATTAGTATTTCTGATTGAGTGAAATTTTCTATAGGTTTCTCCGAGTTTCATGTAGTGAGTGATTGCAGACTAAGCTAGCTTGCTTTACGTCTTAATGCGAGATGTGATTGACAATTTTGATCCACCTCTCGTTGGGTAATGCAGAGACATCAGCGTTGACATCAAAATTTATATTCTTCTGAAATAATCAATACAATCCCTTACATTAATAGAGTATTCTTAGATAGACATTTCATGCGCAGTGAAGAATTTCCAAAAACGCCAGCGTAGGTATACGTATTTTTCAAAAAAAAGTCATTATATATGTGCGTGCTATTTGTTATTTTGTAGGAACCATGCACGTGATATTTGGAATTCCCTTTTATGAAATGGGTTTCCCAAGTACTTTCATTCCACATGTTTGTCTTACATTGTGCTTAAGGCAAAAAATTTGGTCGATTCTGTTTCAACCCAGGCATTCTCTTGCTTGTCGAGTTTCTTTGCTCCTGTACTCTTACGTGAGAAGAGCAACAACAATTCATAATGTTTTAGAAAAATTTTTGTAGGTATCGTGGCAGACGTCGAACAACTTTATATCATATTCCATAGTTTCCCTCTGTGTTTTCAAAGTGAGGGCGCAACTGAAGTTGGGGCAATTCTCTTCAATTAACGTAGTTGGAACATTCTCGTTGCCCATGCTCTTAATGGCGAAATGAAACAGAATAAAATATAAATATATTACAAATGAAGCGATTACTCTGCCAGACTTTTCTTTGCCCGCTATTCAAACACGTATTAAACCGAACTATGCTCTCTTATCGTTAGGGAAAATATTGATTTGATCTTCTAGTTACGAGTTCGATATCTTCAGAAATCTATGTGAAATGTTGCTCCAAGAATTCTTGAACTTGAATAGTTTATCCCATTCCATCACAAATGCTTGAAACATTTCATCCTCTGAATCTAAATAGATGGGATAAGTTCCTAAAGTTTTATAATGTTTTCTTATTTTGGTTATCTGTTACGCGCTAGCGTTGACAATTAATTCTAAACTTTACTCGATAAAGTAGAATTTTGTACTCAATGTGCTCTCAAAATCTTCTCATTTTCGCTTTTGTGGTTAAAATTTTAGAGAAATTTAGTACCAATCGACGAAGGACATCGAATTTGAACGCCTATCAACCTCCAGAATGAATAAATGATTTCGATTTAAGTTTTCTTTTACGTCGAGCTAAGATTGTCATAAGTTAACTGTAGCTTCGAAGGCTGCAGAGTTAGACTCGCATTTCTGCTAATTGTAAGTAACTGTTTCTGCCATCACAGTCATTGCAAATCTACTCTCCTCTTCTATTTCGATCTCTTGCTTATGCTTATTACATAAATATAAATTTAAATGTTTTACTTCTCCGAAAGAAACTATTGCCGCAGTTGAAGTACAAGTAGAAGCTCTATAGCTTGGCTGACGAAATGCTTTTCGCCCACAAACTTGTTCTTTCGCTGTAAATCAAAACTAACAGCAGGGCGATCATGCTTTCCAAACCTCATCCTTGGGTAGCTTAAATAATTTGATAAATATCTTTAATGACCTCATCACGCATCCCAAGACTGAGCATTTGGACTCCTTTCGGTTCCATATTTTGTGTACAAAAGTTCTTTCCTCTTGATGACCTATTCAAATATAAATAGATATTTAATATTAAACCGAATTAATTTTAAAAAATTCTCAAATAATATTTTGCATTCATCACTTGCTTGCAATGGAAAAAAACTGCCAATCATATTGAATTAATCGCGAAGCAATTTCTCTTTGCCGAAATGTAATTCATT